GTGTTCATCCAGCTCTACACCTTGTTATCTCAGGTCTACACATCATCAGGTTGCTGCCCACTAGGATACATTCATCAGGATAATCAATTAGATATTTGACTGGTGTAAGATGATTTTAGATTACTTGCCTTTTGGTTGTTTGTATGGTGTTGATTTATTTCTACGTGTTAACTTTCTTTTTTCAGGTTCCTCATCTGTCAATGAAGTCTGTGTACTGTGTTTTGATTCAGGTAGTTTAGGATAACCGAGGTTGTTCTGAGCTTTCGATGGCTTAGCATTATAATCTGCTAAAACAAATATTAGAAAAACATTTTAAATATGTAATGTCTGGCTTGTTACTACCTACTCTTGTGCACTCAAGTGTCCTCTCAAAGTTCCAAAATGTCTACAATATATGTGTAAATTGTGCTAGGTGCCATACTGGTGAGGGCTTTCATACACTGATGCACAGCATGCAAGCTGAAGACATTAATTTCTGTGCAACACCAATTTAACAACAGCACTGATACATTTGAGCTAAGCACTGCAGCTATTGCTCTCTCTTAACTTCGCAAAACCAAGTACACATTCAGCAAGAGGGTCACTCAACCACCACTGCCATTTAAAGGAATCAACAATTAATTTCAGATTGTTTGCTGGTTGAGTACTTCTAGTTGTTGCTACAGTTCAACAAGCATTTGGTGCTTGCTACAGTTATCCTAAGCATCAAAAGCCAACAGTGGGATTCATAGCAGATGCTGAAGAAGCTTCACTAATTTCAAGGCTTCTGCACAAACCACTCACTCCCAAATTGCGTATCAGTGGGCAGGCCCCCTGAAATGCAGCATTATTTGGAGAATGACAGTGGCCGTACAGAGCAAGCTGTTGGAAGAGTGAAAAGATGTAGAAGCAAAATTTACAGCAGTAGATCATGTTTTCTCAGTGTGTTCAGGAAGTAGTTGCACTAACTAAGCCTCAGTGAAGTGCCTGAGATTCAATAACAATGTCCTCACTGAAATTTGACACCTGCTGCAGGCAGAACTACTACACTGGGGCAAGAATTGTACATGACATGTTCCAAGCAGACCATATCTGGTACCTTGTGGTATTGGCCAGCCCTACTAAACTAACTTTATGGTTAGTTTACGAAGTTCATTACCACAAATCCTCTTTGAGTTTACTCTGTCTGGGCCTATCTGATGATTAGCGGTATAGCTTCCACCTTCATAGAGGGGCACTGTTAGATAGCAAGAAAGCTTATCGCATGAAAACAATAAGTACAACTACATTTGGTCAGTCATAATTAACAGGACTTAAGTGAACTGGTGTAGATATACTATAATCCTAGTTTCCCCCACAGGCTGACTGTGCTCAGTAGAATTAGTGTAGCCAAGAACCAGAAACAATACGTTAAAAACATTGAGCTGGTGACTAGCTATATTATGCATTTGTCTTCTCCCAGGCTGGGGTGGGAGATATTTGCAACATCTTGCCATCTGCTGTTGTGAAAGGGAGGTCACTAAATTTTTCTACTGAACTACCTTTTCTAACTACCTTTATCCTCTTCTTTCAAAGATAAGAAGGTGGAAAATTCCAGCCTTCCCAATGCCAATGTCTGAATGCACATTTGTTTTTTGGGTGCCACCTGCCAACACTGCCCTATACTAGAAGTGAAAAGGATTCCACTCTCTCAACGTCTATCTAGTAGCTGATCATAGGCAAAGAACATAAGAACTAGGAGCAGGAGTAGGCCATCCGGCCCCTCGAGCCTGCCCCGCCATTCAATAAGATCACGGCTGATCTTTTTGAGACTCAGCTCCACTTACCCGCCCACTCACCATAACCCTTAATTCCTTTACTATTCAAAAATTTATCTAGCCTTGCCTTAAACACATTCAGTGAGGGAGCTTTGACCGCTTCACTGGGCAGGGAATTCCACAGATTCACAACCCTTTCGGTGAAGAAGTTCCTCCTGACCTCAGTCCTACATCTGCTTCCCTTTATTTGAGGCTATGCCCCCTAGTCCTAGTTTCACCTGCTAGCGGAAACAACCTCCCTGCCTCCACCTTATCTATTCCCTTCATAATCTTATATGTTTCTATAAGATCTCCCCTCATTCTTCTGAATTCCAATGAGTATAATCCCAGTTTACTCAGTCTCTCCTCATAATCCAACCCTCTCAACTCTGGAATCAACCGAGTGAATCTCCGAGTGAATCAAGCAGGTCACAAAGATCAGGTATCCTGGTAACAGTCACGATGCTTTAATTCTGCATCTGTTTGCTATACCAATTGCATTTAAGCCACATCAAACCAAAAAAACACTGCTGTGGATGCTGGAACAAGCACAGAGGATGCCAAAGTGCCAGATCTGCTGAGTTTCTATCAGAGCAGAAGAGTTATACTGGGCTCAAAACCTCTAAACACAGTATTCCATGTTACAATTTTTCACCGTGACCTGGGTCAGATTTGCTTTTGACATGACTGTCGGCACATGTTCCAGCTACAATGCACCTCCATGCTTAGGAGGTACAGACTAGTTTTAACCAGTGTTGGCTATATTTAAGAAGTGCTTTCCAAGCATGATTGTGAGTTTCCTGCTATTGCTTGCAGTCCTCAAACAGCAGATACAGCACTGGCTGCATGAAGCAATAATTCAAATGGCCATGCAGTATAAAAGTTGCATGTTGCCTACATTACATTGGACAGGCATTGATTAATCATGTACTTTAATCCTGCATTTGTTTCTGGTAGTGCAACGATTGACCCCACTATGTTTTCCCTTTTCCTAATAGAGTAATTGCATTTAATATTCCCTACAAGGCACTTACTTCCAATAAGATAGCATTAGATAGCACTAAGTAGTCATAGCAGCTATTACACCATTTTAAATTATTTAAAAATTTCTGATAAATAAATACATATTCTGGGTCCAATCACCTCAACTGACAAGAGTGCTCAACTCCTGAAAAATAAATCATAACAAAGGATTCAAAAGCCAGACAACCACATGGAATTTGGAGTTCCAATCAGAGCCAAGCCATTTCAATCTTCCCCGCTCAGCAGCAGTGCTATCAGTATTAACTGAAAGGAGATGAAAGCAAAAAGTGCTGGAGAAACTCAAAAGGTCTGGCAGCTTCTGTGGAGAGAAAAACAGTTCACATCTCGATTGCGGTATGACTCTTCTTCAGAAGAAGTACAATATGACTTCTTTGGAACTGAAGAGAAATGCCGAAAAGTGATGAGATTTATGCTGTAAGGAAAGGTGGGGAACAGCATGCAAAACAGAAGAGGCAGTCAGGGGAAGCTTGGAGGAAATGAGAGAATAGAGATCACAGGTATCACAGAACAAAAAGCAAGGTGAATGGTTAGAGAAAGGCCCAGAGCAGGTGTTCACAGCAGAATACAAGTCAGTTGTGAACCAGGGGAAAGATGAAGGCCAGAGTTCATGATCTAAAGCTGTTGAACCCAGTGTAGAGTCCTGAAGGCTGTAAGGTGCATAAATAGAAAATGAGGTACTGTTCCTCCAACTTGCTATGGACTTCAGAGGAACACTGCAGCAGGCTAGGACAGAAATGTCGGCATCAGAGCAGGGTAGTGTATTAAAACGGCAAGCATGCGGAAGGTGGATGGAACTGAATCAATGTGTTCTACAAAGCAGTTACCAAGTCTGTGTTTGATCTCATCAACTAAGATTAAACTTCTCTCTTCAGTTATGAGGAAGTCATATCAGAGTTAATATTAACTAAGCTTATCTCTTTCCCAGCGCTACCAGACCTGCTGAATTTCTCCACCATTTTTTTTTCTATTTCAGATCTCCAGAATGTGCAATGGTTTGCCTTTGTGTTAAAGTGGAGGGATGAGCTGATTATCATGGAGAATTTAAGTGTAGTCTAGTGAACTGGAGTTCAAATTCCAGCATGGGAGTTTGAGAACTGGAATTCAGTTAAAACAAATGTAGGGAGTCAAAGACTGGCATCAGTAAAAATGACAATGAAGCTTCTGTATTATTAGTACGGTCCAATCATTTCACTGTTCCATAAGGAAAGGATTGCTAAAACCTTTACTTTACCTGGCCTACAATGATTCCAGTTTCACACAAACATGGTTGATTCTTAACCTCCTTTGTAAACATTTGAGCTGCATCAAATTGTTACATGTCAGTAGTACAAGCAGAAAGTAATAACAGAGCTTTCCATATCCCACAAATCCATAAAATTGGTCAGAAAAAAAATCATACATGGAATGAGAAGACTGCTGAGAGGACTAACATTTGTTGTCAGCCATAATTGTCCTTGGAAAAATATGATGAACCATCTTCTTGAGCCATTGTAGTTCAACTGATGGTTAAGAGGTTTCCAGGTTTTGCCAGTGTAAAGACAGCAATGATAGTTCCAAGTCAGGATGGTTTATGGCTGTAAGGAAAGCTTGCAGGTGTGAAGTGTTCCCAAGTGTTTGCTGCCCTTATCCTTCTAGGTGGTAGACGTTGTAGTGTTAGAAGGTGCTACAGAGTTAGGCATGGTGAGTTGCTGCTCTCCATCTTTTAGATAGAAAATACTGCTGCCACTATGGATTTGTGATGGACAGTGACTGTTTATGATGATAGACTGGGTGCCAAACAAGCGGACTCCTTTATCCTGGATAGTGTTGATTTACTGGACTGTTGTTGGAGTTGCACTCATCTAGACAAATGGAGAGCATGTCATCACACTCCTGCCTTGAAGATGGTGGAGACAATTTGGGGAGTCAGGAGGCATATTGTTCACTGCCGAATTTCTAGCTTTGGACCTGCTCCAATAGCTACAGTATTTATATGTCCGGTTCTGTTAAAGTTACTGGTCAATGGGATCCGCTAGGACGTTGATGGTCGGAAATTCAGTGATGGTAATGCCACTAAATGTCAAGGCAGATGGTCAGATTCTCTTTTATTGGTTGTGGTCATTCTTGGCACTTGTATGGCACAAATGGTCCTTGATAATTAATAGCATAAGGCTGAATTGTGTCCAGGTCAATAGCTGGGGAGTTATGAATGTATTGAACACTATCAATGAATGTCCCCACTTCTCACCTTATGATGGAGGAAAGTCATTGATGAAGCAGCTGTGAATAGTTGAGACACTACCTTGAAGATTTCTGTTGCAATATTCTGAGAATGAGATGATTTGCAATTACAACCATCTTCCTACTTTATACTTGTGACTTCAGCTACTGGAGTTTTCTCTGACCTTCACTGACCTAATTCTTGTTTGGACCCTATTTTATGTTAGACACCAAGGATATAATGAGTTGTATTCCAAGTAGTTCTGCTGGAAACCAAACTGAGCATCAGAGAGCAGGTGTATCAATGAGTAAGTATTACTTGATAGCACCGTCAATGACACCTTTGCTGATGACTGACCGAACAGCCCAACAGCATCTTCATCAGCCAGAATGGATTCATCCTGATTTAATGGATAGGATACACCTTGGGCAATTTTTCAGTGCTGAGTACTTTTCAATATTAAGCTATTCTGGAACAGCTTGGCTACAGACATGGCTAGTTCTGCTGCATAGGTTTACAGCACCATAGCTAGGTGTTGTCACGGCCCAGCACTTTTGCCATATCCAGTACCTTCAGCTGTTTCTTGATATTACTGTTAATTGATGTTATTGGAGTAAATCAAATTGACTGAAGACTGGCATTCAAAACACTACAGATCTCAGGAAGACACCAAAATGGGCTATTCACCTCAGCTCATGTGGCTGAATTGGTTACAAATGCTTCAGCTTAGTATTCTGCAAACAAGTGTTGTCCTACATCATTGGGGGATTGAGGTTTTTTGTGCGGCTTTCTTCTCCATCTATTTATCTAATTCTCCATCATCATTTACAATTGGAGTTGGTAGGAAATGCAAAGTGTCGACAGGTTCCACAAGTTCAGGAATGGTTAAACTCAGTCTTTAGCATGATATTTTTGCTGTTTAGCATACATCTAGTTCTGTACTGTGGCTTCACTAGGTTCATATGTCTCATTTTTAGGTATGGTCAGTGGTCTCCTGCATTCCTCACTGACCTGGCTTGATGGTATTGGTAGAGTGAGAAATGCTAGGCCATGAGGTTACAGATTATGCTTGAATAAAATTTTGTTGCTGCTGCTGTTTTCGCACAGTGCCTGATGGATATTCACTTTTGTGCTGCTAGATAGGATCTTAATCTCTCCTGGAACTGCGGTCATTTCACACAATATACGATAGGACTTAAGTCTGAACAATAATGTCATGGACAGGTCTGCTGCAAAGGTTGACTGGTCAGGATAAGATCAGGGAGAATCCTTTAGTGGATTCCACCATCAGCTGCTGCAGATCTGGTCATGCAGATATGAACTTCAGGGCTCAGCCAGATTGGTCAGTCATGGTGCTATCAAACTACTCTTCTTCGTGCAATGTTGAAATATCCACTTGGAATATTTTCCATGCTCTTGCTACACTCAGTGCTTCTTCACATCAGTGAACCAGGTGGATTTTTTTTACAACAAATCCATAGTTTCACGTTCACCAATTTCATGCTAGTTTTAAAAATTCATTTTCAATAATTGAACTAAATCCAGAAGATGTCAGAGTGGATCTGAACTTGAGTCTCTGAAGACCTCTGGATTCTTATTCCTGTGACACTGCTGCTACCATGCAATGATTTTATAAATGAGCAGTATCAAGGAGGTGGAGGATTTAAATGGTTCAGGGACGTAATTCGAAAGAATTGATCCATTAAAAATATGGCATGATTGCCCATCCACCACTTGAGACAGTGGTGTGAATGAGAGCACAGGCTCGTGGTGTGTGTGGGGAAGATGCCAAAGAGTCTGTGGATGGAGGAGTAATGTCAAAAGCAGACTCGATGGGCTGGATAGCCTACTTCTGTTCCTATGTTGTACAGTCTGGAGGAGTGGGTGAGGTGGGTCCACTGAGGAGGTGATAAACAAGATTTTGAATCCTATATCTGAGGTACTAAAATTAACTTATGTCAGTGAGGACCGTGGGGATGGGCAAGCATTACTTATGTGGGAATACAGGTGTGTGCACGTGGGCTCAAATTTACAAACAGCTTCAGCAGCAACAGCATCCAGAAGTGGATTGGAGCAATTGAGTCTGGAGTTTCCATGAATTCCATTAGAGATTCACATTTGCTGAAGAAGGTAAATTCTTTCTATTAAAGAAGGTATGAGGACAGAAGTTCTGCTTGGGTGTTGCCATGGTTGCAGCAATCTCGTTCAGGCTGAGTATGTGGCTGGGGAGAAGATGGTGACAATGCTACTGAGTGTGCAGTAAGGAGTGAAAATGATGTGAGGACTGAAGTACATTCCCAGTGTTTGGATGAATTGTAGCAACAAAAAAAGAAACGGAAATGCAACGAAAAGATCTGCAAAACAAAACTTATGCTTGTCAATTATTAGCAGCCCTCACAAACCCAAGTGCCCAAAACATAGCTATGATCCACATGGGAATATTGACAATTTGACTACAAATGACAATAGAGATAACAAGGTGTAGAGCTGGATGGACACAGCAGGCCAAGCAGTATCAGAGGAGCAGGAAGGCTGACGTTTCAGGCCTAGGATCTCTGCAGGTTTATCCATCTACTAATTCACATTCTATTAAAAAAATTCATAAAATTCCTTCAGTATTCATAAAGTTAAATAAATTATACTGTTCTAACATCAGATGCAGTGAAGATTTTTTTTTAGTTTATTTAAACATATTTCTATCTCAAGTTGCACCTGATCTTATCACAGAATCATTGAATCCCTACAGTGTGGAAGCAGGGCATTCAGCCCATCAAGTCCACACCAAGCCTCTGAAGAGCATCCCACCCAGACTCACTCCCCCTACCCTATCCCTGTAAACCTGCATTTCCCATGGTTAATTCACCTTGCCTGCACATCTTTGGGCACTATAAGCAACTTAGCATGGCCAATCCGCCTAACTGGCACATCTTTGGACTGTGGGAGGAAACCAGAACACCTAGAAGAAACCCAGGAAGATAAGGACAGAATATGCAAACTCCACACAGACAGTCGCCAGAGGCAGCAGTGCTAACCACTGAGACACCGTGCTCTGGTCATTATATTGCGGGAAACCTAGGAGTTGAGAGTGAACATGGCTCCTTCCAATACCAACAGAAATCAACAGTCCATTTAACCATTTATTTATAATTCAACAGCTTTTCTTAATTGTATTTAGCAAGTTGCTGGCATTGGAAATTCTATTATCATACTAAATAAGCACAAACAACAAAATCGATCTCTTACTTGAAGGTCCTGATGATGCTGCAACAGAAGACTTGGAAACAGCTGCCACTGCCGCCAACGAAGATGATGCTTCTGTCCCAGAGGTAATCCCCAGACGTAGCCTCGTTCTTCTGGTCCGGACAATAGTAGAAGATTCACTTGCCTTGCCATTGGCCTGAATAACAGATGTTTTCATACTTGTTGATCTGACAGGCATAGATAAGGGTGAAGAAATGGACTCCTCTATCTTGGCTTGGGGTTTTAAAAACCTTCGTTTCCTTTCAGGGCTGCAATTAAAACATAGATTGTCAGCAAATATCCATAGATGAAAACTTCACACCTTCTTTGAAATATTTTTCTTTTTCAAAATTATTCAAGGGAAGAGGTAATTGAATACCATCTTACCCTCTTAACTCTTGTTACAATAATTAGCTAAGTAAAAGGCAGCAACTAATTCAAATTCACACCATTGTTTGTTTGAGGACAGCGAATCCAAGAATGATCAAATGCTAATTCACAAGAATAATTATTCCTAACTGTGTCTTTGTATTTATAAAGTGCTCCTTGGTTTGTAAATTTTTGGTAATTCAAAATCACCAGAATGAATATGTTGTTACAACTCCACCAGCAATATCAATACACCTACCAACAAAATCACAGGATCTTAGGGCACATTCAGCCATCATGCTTCTGTGAAAGAACTGTCCAATTTATTTTCACACCCTTGTTCATTTCTCAAAGCCCTCAAATCCTTCCATTGGCACAGTGGTTAGAACTGGTGCCGTGATTCAAATCCAGCCTTGGGCAACTGTCTGAGTGGAATTTGCACATTCTCTCCGTGTCTGTGTGGGTTTCCTCCCACTTTCCAAAGACATTTAGGTTAGGTGGATTGGCCATGCTAAATTGCCCATAGTGTCTGGGGTGGGAAATGCAGGGATAGGATAGGGGGTGGGTCTGGGCGGGATGCACTTCAAAGGGTTGGTGTGGACTCGATGGGCCGAATGGCCTGCTTCCACACTCTAGGGGTTCTATGACTCTTCTAATATTTTCAACATTCTCTCCATTTGTCACCAACGCAGAGTAGGTGTAGTGTGTACCACCTACAAGATGCACTGCAATAAATCACCAAGGCTTCTTAGGACAGCACCTTCCATACCCACAAACAGTAGCACTGAGAAGGGCAGATACATGGGAACATCACTACCTTCAAGTCACTGTATTGTCTACGTCTGGGGTCAAAATCCTGGAACTTCCTTCCTAGCACTGTGGATGTACTGACACACCAAGGATTGCAACAGTTCAAGAAGGCAGCTCACCACGACTTTATTGAAGGCAATTAGAAATGGGTAATAAAGGCTGGTCTGGCCAGTGATGACCACATCACATGAATGTGTAAAACAAAATCTTACAATGAAGTACTGATAAACATTTTTGTGTCACACAGAATATTTCTGCATTCCACATAACTTTAAACTGTCACCTTTGACCTACAACAGCAGCATTAAGAAAATCTTTCCAAAATAGTGAAAACGATTTGAATACTTTCAAAGCTTTATTACATGACTGCGACATGCATGAACAAGAACAATTTGCTAATACATTGTCAGTAGAATAGGGTGAGAATAGGTTAACAGTTCATCAACTTGTGGCCACGTACATAGTTTTGTTCAAAACATCCAGTCTGCGTCTAGAAGAAAACAAGCTAATATCGGATCCGCATCCTCAAAACAAAACCACTTTCATGCACACGGTACCTAATAACTGCACGGATAGTGCAAGAGATTAATACTGCAGTTTATGAGCCGTTCTTTAACTTTCCTGTATTAACATACCTCGATGCTGCACTGCTCGAGGGAGAGCTACTCCTCCTTCGTTTCCGCCTTTGGCTGGAAGCCTTCTTTCTCGAATAGAATCGAACTGCTGCCTTGTAGTCAGAAATAATGGAGCTCATGTGTTCTTCAAACAATGCTGACAACCGTAAACTCATACTATAGATCTAGTGAGAATAAACACTTAATTATGAGACTGATTTAATGTAATATACATGTCCAATTAATTGTCTAGTTAACAAATAATGCTCTAGCAATAAGCTCAACAATTCTTGCCAGTCCATTAGATTACTTCAGGGATTTATTAATTATTCTGTTTCACAAATACAATGTTTCTCAAACAAGGGGTGACAATTCCAAGTGAGATTCCAAGACATGGAGGAGGTATATGCCTTTGCATCCAGAAGGTAAGTGGATGGTCAGCTGACAGGTCTGGAAAAGGCCCACCCCACAGTAATAAAGTGCTATGGTCAGGCTATATTGATAGATAGTGGGACTTCTGCCCTCACAATTAAGTCATCCCACCCCCTGGAGCCAAATCCTGCAATCCTCTGGCAGTGTCAGAGCTCCGTAAATGGCAATGTCAGGACTGCATGTACGCTTCATATAGGAAATCTGATAAATTCCAGAGTGAGGTAAATCAAGGGCGCTCAATCAAGGGGCCTTTAATATCTCAGAGAAGGAAAGGAGGGGGGCTGTGAGGGAATTTAGGGGCTGGATTCTGTATAATAGGCTCATAGGAAGGTACAGGGGTACAATCTTCTCAGGGGTGCCACTGATGGGTCAAAGACACCCCTTTCCTTTTCTTTGCTTTAAACGCAAAAAATGTCAATTTCTGTGCTTTGCCGACAAAATTAAGGCATGGGCAGTCTAATAGCAGGGTTATTGACCTTCAATACTTCTTTACATATGGTAGACAGTTTGTCAATTTCAGTAACATGGGGTTGAGTGTGGGTGTGAACGGGAAGTTGGTGCTCTGGCCACTTGGAAACGCACTCAGCAGAGGCATGTACTATTCAGCTCTGGTTACATCACATCATCACCGATTTATATCACATCATCACTGATTTATGGAACTTTGCTGAGTTCTACAACTCCTTCATAAACGGCATTTTTTTTGCACTATTCAAAGAACAGCAAAGTTCTCCCAGTACACTGTCTAATGTTTAAGGTTCAACCAATATGTCACAGATTAGCAAGTCAGTTATTTCATTTATTTTGGATAAAGTGGTCACCAAGTGACCATTCTGCTTGCTTATATTATAACAAGGTTGCATTCTAAATAAATAAACTGTCCTTCCTTGGCTGAGAAGCACTTTGGCAAATCCTCACATCATTAAAGTATAATTTAAAAGTATGTTTGTTCTTTCCACTTCAGAGCAAATACAACCTGTGACCTGATGTCACAGCCTAAAACATTAGTATCAATCAGCATGGCTTTACAGTTAAAGATACAAGAGTTGGTTAGTTCAGCTGACTGGATAGCTGGATGGAGACGCAGTGATGCCAACAGCATGGGTTCAATTCTCATAATAGCTGAGGTCATCATAAAGATCCCATCCTCCCAAACTTGCCCCTCACCTGAGGTGTGGTGACCCTCAGGTTGCAATCACCACCAGTTGTCTTTCTAACGAGTGACCAGCGCTATGGGGATATGGAAACTTCACCTTTAACAATTAAAGGGCTAAAAAATTACAATTTCCAAGAGTTCCTATACAGTAGTGTACACATCCCTATGGAGAGTGACAACTTATTTTTGTCTCAAGAAGTTCAGTGGACTTTTGCAGAGGTCAGGGTCGGTAATTGAGTTGTAATGCTACTTCCCCTAGATCCAGGGGAACAGGTGGAAGTCATTCGGCTATTTTTCTAGACATCAAACAGCTTATCTTTTTACTGCCAATTCTTTGCCTTTTGCCCATTTCAACAAGCAAGATATATATTGAGAAAGGGTGCAGTTGGTGGGGGTATTGAAGAGAGAGAGAGACAGAAACAGAGAGAGAATGGGAAAGAATGAGTGATTATTTTAGACAACAAGGTGCAGGACTGGACG